CCCAGAAGGGACACCCCCAGAGCCCGAAACCCCGCCAGCGCTGGTACCACCCCCAGTCCCGCCGGGACAAGCCACGACAGGAGCCCCGGGACGAGTACCCACCTCAACTCCAGCAACCCCAGAGTCCACGAACGGCGGCAGCGACGACGGCGGCGGTGACGGCGGCGTCGGCTGCAGAGGCGGTGGAGGTGGAGACAGCGGGGGAGGGACTGGCGGCGAGGACTGCGCCGGGGGACTACCAGAGTCAGAAGACTCCTCGACCGGGACGACCGACGGGAGGGGGGTGACGTGAGACACACCAGAGGGGGCCGGACGGGGGGGAGGGGGGGGGGGAGGGGCAGGGACCACCAGGGAGGGAGGAACCAGGAACAGGGGGGAGTAACCGGGGGACCACGGTGGGGGAAGCGGCGGTAGAAGGAGACGGACTCGTCAAAGGTGACGTCGCGAGAGTGAAAGAAGCGGTGAGACGGCGGGTGGTAGAAGTGCCAGTCAGACGCGTCAAGGGGGAAACCGAGGAAGACGCAGGGAAGGGTGCGGGCAGTGAGCTTGTCCGTGCCAGAGGCACGAACGTGAGCAAGGCAGCCCCAGACGTGGAACGCAGACGCGTCACCAGGGGACCCGGTCCACAGAAGGGTCGGCGAAACCTGCGGCCGCTGGGGGTGCGGCCACAGGTTAAGCTGGTGAGCAGCGTAGCGCACGGCGAACGGCCACAGAAAATGGGGTGCACCGGCATGGATCATGGAGGTGCGAGCCACCTCCATGACGAAACGGATGCGTCGCTCAGCGACCCCATTCTGCTGCGGGGAGTCCGGCAGGGTAAACGTGTGGGTGATGCCCTCCGCACGACAGAAGCGACCGAGGACACCGGTGACAAACTCGCCACCACGGTCGGAGTGAAGACGCAAGACAGGGAGACCGCGGTTGACACGAGCAGAGACAAGCCAGGGGATGAGAACGTCAGGCACGTCGGCCTTCCGCTCCAGGGGAAAGACGGTGGTGTAGCGCGTGAAGTCGTCGACAAGCACGAGGAAGAAGCGCTCGCGACGCGGCCCATGGACGGGGGCGGGGCCCCAGACGTCCATGTGTAGAGTCTGCAGCTGTGCGGCGGTAGGGGGAAACGAGGAGGAGTGAGGGGCACGGCGAAGCCAGCCCTCGACGCAAGGCGTGCAAGGTGGGGCGGGGGAGGAGGGAAACTCGGGGAACGAACCGGGGAGACCAAGGACGAGACCGTGCTGGGACATGTGACGTAGACGCGGGAGCGCAGGGTGACCAAGGCGGTGGTGCCAAAGGAGTGTCGGGTGAGTGAGGGACCGACAGGAGCAAGCAGCAGCAACCTGAGTAGACGCAGCCACCTGGGGGGACGTCCCAGCCGGGGAAGTCACGGTGTCAAGTGTGAACAGGCCTGACACCGGGTCCCGGGGGAACGTGGTAAGGGGGGCACCAGTGGCGGCCTCGGTACAGACAGCATACCGCTCGTGCCCAGGGAACGTAGTGGTGACGCCAAGGTCCTGGAGGCAGCCGACACCAACTAGGTTCCTGGAGAACGAGGGGATATGCAGACCTGTGAGCGAACCCAAAGGAACCGCCGGACAGGGAAGGGAGGTGGAACTGCGGGCTACGACGGGACCACCGGAGGGGTCAGCAAGAGAAACGGCAGCAGAAACAGGAAGCGGCGTAAGCGTAGTGGAGTCGCGGAAGAAACACCGGGAAGCGCCAGAGTCCAAGGTGAAGGAAAGTGCAGCAGTGGCGCCTAGTGGCGGAGAAGCGGTGGAAGCACCGAGGCTACACAAAGCAGAAGATCCTACGCCTGACGCTGCAGGGGAGTCTACGCTAGGCACACCTACACTAGGCAACACGGGGTAATAAGAAGGAAGCACACTAGAGTCATCAGCATACATCACATGCAGGGCGGCTACAATAGCATCCATGTCCAAGTCAAAAATCTGAATACTACGCCTAAGCAAGCTGTGCCAGTCCGGGAGGTCGGGCGACGGGCCAAAGCGCTGACGGAACAGGTCGTCCAGGCGACGAAAACAGCGCGGAGTGGAATGACCGATCTTACCGCAAACGAAGCCGCGGCGCGGACCGCTCTGGATCTGGTATTGACAGCGCACGCCTCCGGAACCACCACCCGGCGCACCACCACGCGCACGGCCACTACCAGCTCCAGGCCACCCAGGCGGGAGGGCACTCGCATGCCTCGTCGGCGGCGGGTGCTGTGGCTGCTGCGGAGGCTGCGGCTGCGGCGACTGCTGCTGCTGCTGCGGCTGCTGAGGCAGTGGGTCAGCCGGACTGGGCAGCGTCCCCTCGTCCGCTCCAGCACCAGACAACCCGACTCCACCACCACCCCCTCCTGCACCCCCGCCTCCCCCGCCGCGCCCAGCCTTGGGGCGGCGACCCTTCCCCGAGCGAAACTGTGCGGCTGCAGCAGTCTCAGCCACAGCGACAGAGCCGTCGGAGAAGGTACACTGAGCGGGGGCACAACCCTGAAAGATAGGGACCGGTACCGTACCGCTCGCCTGGGCGATGGAGCGGTGGCGAGTCTCGATAACAGTCAGGGTGTCTACGAAGTCGGTGAGGGTGAGCTCAGCGGGCTGAATGCTAAGGAACTGGTCGCGGGCGGCGGCAAGGCGGTCAGGGAGGCGGGTGGCAAGCAGGTAGAGGGTAGAGGTCCTGGGCGGCTGGTGGGCTCTAAGCTGTGCATCAGTGCAGGCAGCGCGCCAAGTCTCATATATCGAGCGCAGGTGGGCAGCTAGGTCAGAGACAGTGGGGAAAGACGTTAGGTCAGGAAAGAGCATCCGAGGATCAGGCGACCCACGGAGGCAGCAGGGGGGGCAGAATAGCGCTTGATGACAGCATCTAAGTAGGCCTGGGCGGTAGTGATGGACCTAAAACGAGGGCGCTCAGGCGGGGGAAGGGCATTGCTAATGGCGAGCTGAGCAACAGCGTCTTGGGAAAGCCAGACAGCGCGTGCTAGGGCAGCGGCGGCAGTGGACTCGCGCTCAGCGGGTGTGGGGTCGGCGGGCAACACAGCAGGGGGGTCTGGGCAGGGGAGCGTACCGTCAAGGTGTGCGGAAGGCGGGTGGCCATCTTGCCGCTGGCCGGTGAGGTGGCGGCGGAGGTCGGCAAGCCACGCCTCGAACTCCAGTGGCTGACCTTCAGCATCGAAGCGAAGCTCCGCCGCCATCAGGAGCAGGGAAGGACTATACAGGGCGGTGCAGAACAGTGCAGTGGGATGCAGTGCGGTGCAGTGCTGTGCAATGCGGTGCAGTGCAGTTCAGTGCGGTGCAGTGCGGTGCAGTGCGGTGCAGTGCGGTCCAGTGCGGTGCAGTGCGGTCCAGTGCGGTGCAGTGCGGTGCAGTGCGATCCAGTGCGGTGCAGTGCGGTGCAGGGAAGTGCAGTGCGGTGCAAAGCGGTGCAGGGAACGGGGGACAGTACCAGGGAGGATGTAGGGCCGGGGCTGTGACGACGAGGCTGGGCAGGGCGAGACGAGGCCGGGCAGGGCGCGACGGGGCCCGGCAGAGCGCGTCGAGGCCGGGCAGGGCGCGACGGGGCTAGGCAGGCGCGACAGGGCCAGGTGGCGCGACAGGCCGTGCGAGCACGACGGGGCGGGCAGGCGCGACGGGGCCGGGCAGGCGCGACGGGGGCCGGGCAGGCGCGACGGGCCGGGCAGCGCGACGGGGCCGGGCAGGCGCGACGGGGGGCGGGCAGGCGCGACGGGGCCGGGCGAGCACGACGGGGCCGGGCGAGCGCGACGGGCTAAGGGAGGGACGGGGCCCAGGAGGGCGCGACCGGGCAGGGAGGTGCGACAGGCCAGGAAGGGGCGTCTGGGCTAGGAGGCGCGACGGGGCCCAGGAGGGGCGCGAACGGGCGAGGAGGCGCGCTAGGGCCAGGAGGGGCGCGACTGGGCTAGGAGGCGCGCTAGGGGCCCAGGGGGGGCGCGACTGGGCTAGGAGGCGCTTTAGGGCCCAGGAGGGGCGTGACTGGAGTAGGAGGCACGCTAGGGCCCAGGAGGGGCGCGACGGGGCTAGGAGGCGCGACGGGGCCCAGGAGGGGCGCGACTGGGCTCTGAGGCGCGATAGGGCCCAGGAGGGGCGTGGCTGGGCGAGGAGGGGCGACGGGGCCCAGGAGGGGCGCGGCTGGGCTAGGAGGAGCGACTGGGCCCAGAAGGGGCGCGTCTGAGCTAGGAGGCACGGTAGGGCCCAGGGAGGCGCGACTGGGCTACGAGAGACGAAGGGCCCAGGAGGGGCTCGGCGGGGCCTAGCGAGGGTAGGAGCGGAAGCGATAAGTGGAGGGGGGGGGGGAGGGGGGGGTCGAAACCTACGCGTGATACCATATCAGAGTAGAAGAATGATTAAAAGAGAGAGAACATGTGAACATACCTAAGAGTTGTACCCTATATAAGACATGACTCTATTAAATCTATGCAAACATAGTAGATATACATGTTTGACATAGGCATGGCGGCAGTGGTGACCGTGCGTGAGCTACCGGGCCTGTTAGTGCTCCTCTGGTTGTCTTAGCGGTTGGAAGTAAATTGGTTTTGTTTGCATGTCGAGACGAATTGGTCTGAGAGTTTGGTTTAGGCCCCCCTCCATTCGTAGAGAATGTGTGGTTCGCGTGTTGGGGTAAATCTAGCCAACCAGTAAAAACGCTCCATATGGTGCCTGTTTCGATTTCGGCATGTCCTTCTGTTTGGGGCTTCGTCACTCAATTTCGTGCAGAGAGGTGTTACATGGCGCCTTGGTTTTCGCTTTCCCTGAACATGTGGGAGTTGGCACGTGCGAGTTTTTGGCGGCTGTGGGCGAATGGGCACAGGAAGTGACAAAATCTGAGAAGTTGCCGACAGAGAAATTGGCGGAGGACAAGTGTATTCTTCATTCACGAGTGGTTTGATTCGCCTGAAACAGTAAGACATCTCTTATGACACGACCTACACGTGTTCTTTGCTTTTCCTTGCAAGTTGTGTTTCGCGAAAGGCAGAAGTTACGTTAAATGCCTAACCTGATGTCTATTAATTGCAAAATGATTGCAATCGTACCTAATCCTACAGTACAAATATGCATTCCTTCCCTAGCTCCTGGCCGTAGATGAGTGCGAGAACAGCCATAACAGACCACAAGCCGAGCCGCAATACACCGTGCCACCCATAACAGCATCCCCTAATGCATGATGGCAGCCAATGCGGATGTAAGGAGAGATGACCGATGATGCCCATGCAACTGCAGTGTCAATCTGAGATGCGAATTTCCACCTTGAGCAAGTCTCTCATGATCTCGTACGTGACGAAGGCAATGGCGATGGATGGCACCACCTGGGTGGGGCGGGGGGAGGGGTTAGAGGCGCAGGGGCACAAGCACACAGGGAGGGCAGAAAACGAAGAGTTACCACAGGGAGCACAAGAAACATGTCGAGAACAAGTCTTTCTTTCAGGATGTCACTCATACATGACTAACACAACAGGGATGGACGGTACCACCTGGCATTGTGTGATGAAGACAAAGGCACAGGTAGGAGGCACAGAGACCCCTTGCATCAAGTCTATCAGAATACCTCCTCAACCGCTGGTTTCGCCTCACCTGGTCAGCGTGCTACCTCCTCCCTCTCTGCTGCCAGTGTGCGCTCAGCACACTGAGGCTACAGTAGCAGAGGATGTCACCTTCACAGAACTCCCTCCATCTGCATTGTCTTCCTGAAAGGTGTCTATCATCCAGGAGTGCCACGGCAGGCAGAGCCAGCCACTGGGAATAAACGCAAGAACCAGCACAAGATCTCACCTTTACAGAATTGGGCACGAGCCCCTTGTAGAGCGCCTTCACTCCCTCCATCTGCACTGCCTTCCTGAACGGCATCCATCATCTCTGAGTGCCGCCGCAGGCACTCCTTGAAGTGAAGGTGTTGAGGGGAGGTCCATTGTAATGACAAAAGTGAGGTCCGGTGTTGTGTGACGTTGTAACGAGGTGACTTTTGAGTCGACTCAAAAGCCACCTGAAAGGCGTCCGTCATCTCTGAGTGCCGCCGCAGGCAGAACCAGCCACGGAGAATAAATGCAAGAGCCAGCACAAGATCTCACCTTCACCGAGTTGGGAACAAGTCCTTTGTAGAGCGCCTTCACCCCCTCCATCTGTACCGTCTTCCGGAACGCGTCTATTATCCCGGTGTACTGCGGCGCCGCTGCCACTGAGACGTCTGGTTTGTCTGTCATCTGCACATCAGCACACACTCAGGCTACACCAGGAGCGGATCTCACCTTGACGGAATTGGGCACAAGTCCTTTGTAGAGCACCTTGACTCCCTCCATCTGCACTGTCTTCCAGAAAGCATGCCCCATCCCGGTATGTTGCGGCGCTGCTGCCACTGTGCCGCCCACTTTCAGCACACTCCAAGGCTATGCAAGGCACAGAATAGGTGAGAGAAACCCCCCAGCCCAGCAGAAGAACCCACCTTCACAGAGTTTGGGACAAGCCCCTTGTAGAGCGCCTTGACTCCCTCCGTCTGCACCGTCTTCCGGAAAGCGTCTATCATCCCGGTGTACTGCGGTGCCGCTGCCACCGTACCGTCGGCTCTGAGCACGCTGGCCGCGTCCTTCCACCCCACCATCTGCAGCCGCCGCCGCACCACGTCCAGCGGGTACGCCACTGTCTGCCCCAGCGTTCCCGCCACCGCCCCACACGCCAGCTTGGTGAGGACTGAGAGCTCCGCCTGCTCGGGCTGCTGAGTCGCGTACATTCTTGCAAGCCAGTCCTTTAGGGTTTCGTACACTGCGAAGTTGAGACCCACGTAGGGGATCTGGCAACGGTGGACGAGGGGGAGGGGAGGGGCAGAAAGAGGGGGGTATGTGACAGTCTGGCCCATGTGACAGTCTGGCCCAGCGTTCCTGCCACCGCCCTGCACGCCAGCTTGGTGAGCACCGAGAGCTCCGCCTGCTCGGGCTGCTGAGTCGCGTACATTCTTGCAAGCCAGCCTTTAAGAGTCTCGTACACTGCGAAGTCGAGACCCACGTGGGGCCGGAAAGGGGGGGCAAGGTTACACATCCGTTTAGCCACCCCACCATCTGGAGGCGCCGTCGAGGGTGCCGCAGGCAGCCCCTATAGAGGGCGCGTACACTTCCCTCCTTCACTAAAGCTGGCTGCCAGTTTCCACTACCACTACAGCCAGTCACTTCACTACTACCACGACTCGCGACTCACCACCACTCACCACTGCCACAACTCGCGGCTCACCACGACTCACTACGACCACGACGCACTACTACCACGACGCACTACAACCAGGACTCACTACTACCACGACTCAATACTACCACAACGCTCCACTACCACGACTCACTACTACCACGACTCGCCGCTCCAATAACACAGGTCAACCAGATGACTGTTGAGTCGACTCACAAGTCATCTTACTACTACCATCACACACCATGCCAATAACGGAAGGCAACCAGCCTCTACAGAGGGCGCACACCCTTATGCTTTGCTACAGCTGGCAGCCAGTCGCCACTACCACTACAACCGTCGACCGGTCACTACTACCATCACTCACCACACCAATAACGGATGGCAACCAGCCCTTATAGAGGGCGCGAACGCCCTCCTCCTTCACTATAGTCACCGCGGCGTGGCGCATGCCCTTGTAGCGCTGCTCGCCTTTTCTGCCGGACTGGTGATGGGGAGCGAGGGACACAAGGACGAGGGACACAAGGACGAGGGACACAAGGAGGCAGAGACATGGGAAGGGAGGCATGAGGGGAGAGAGGGGCGGACAGAGAGGCAGGCACCGCCGCGTGGGGCATGCCGTTTTTCTGCTACTCGCCTTTTCTGCCGGACTGGTGGTGGCGACATGAGAGGGGCACATGGCGGCAGAAGCAAGGGAAGGGAGGCAAAGGACGCATGAGGAGAGGAAGGGGCGGACAGAGAGGCAGGCACCGCCGCGTGGGGCGCATGCCCTCGTTTCGCTGCTCGCCTTTCTGCCAGACCGGTGGTGGGGACACCAGAGTGGGGCAGGCGGGGAGGCGGGGAGGTGGGGAGGAATGCAGGGAGAGAGAAGAAATGCCCATGAATTTGCAGGGTGTTTTTAGAATTCTCAAAAACACCCTGCAAAGACTGGTGGTGGGAGAAATGCAGGGAGAGAGAAAAATGCCCATGAGGCCGCAGACCCACCCGACTACAGTAGATTGCCCTCTGACCCATGCGGCATATTCTGATTTAGCCTGTAGGTAGCGCACACGGATCAAGTGCCCTCTGACCCATGCGGCATGTTCTGATGTGGTTAGCAAACACAACCCACCTGCACTGTGAGCCGTTCTCAGACCATGTCTATGGGGTATGTGGCACTCAAGGCATGTTGTGGTGGGGTCTATGGCACACATAGTAAGAGGTCCCACCAACTAACTCACCCGCACTGTAAGCCGCCCTCGAACCATGTCCATAGGGTAAGTGGCGGACATGGCATGTTGTGGGGTCCATTGCACACATGGTAAGAGGCCAGTGCAACCCTCCTGCACTGTGAGGCGCCCTCGGACCATGTCCACAGGGTACGTGGCTGGCTGACATGGCAATGATGCCCATGTGAGCGCCCTCTTGTAGCAGTTACCCAGTCCCCCTTGATGTATATGCATATGCCTATGTCGCAATGTCCCAAACCCACCTGCACTGTGAGGCGCCCTGGAACCATGTCCATGGGGTATGTATGTGGCGGACATGGCAATGATGCCTGCTGTGGCGCCTGCTCCCATTGCATCAAGGTAATCTGACCACACTCCATGCAATCAGCCCACCCACCTGCACTGTGAGGCGCCCTCGGACCATGTCCATGGGGTATGTGGCGGACATGGCAATGATGCCTGCTGTGGCGCCTGCTCCTAGCCGCAACACCGGGGTCAGCTCCAAGTCTGTTGTTCAGGAGGGTGAAGGGGGTACTGCTAGACATGATCAAAATGCAATGCGATATTACGTCGCATCGCATTTTATTAAATGGCTGCGATGCGATAACATCGCATCACCCCATATAATTTTGGGGGAACAGGTTATCGCTAATCGCATTATGGGCGCGACATTAATTAATATTGCATTGCACATGATCAAAATGCAATGCGATATTATATCGCATCGCATTTTATTAAATCGCTGCGATGCGATAACATCGCATCACCCCATATAATTCTGGGGGAACAGGTTATCGCTTATCGCATTATGGGCGCGACATTCATTAATATCGCATTGCACTTTATAAGCAAAAAAGGGGGGTTTCCAAGAGGTGTTAAAAAGGGCAGCAAATGTGCGCACCCTGGTGGCCATGGGAAACGGGAATAAGGGTTTTGATGTAGTTGGATGGCTTGGCTTGGCTTGATAAAAATGCTATAAAAATGCGACATTTTTTTTATCGCATTTTACCGCATATCGCATTTTATCCTGCGATAAGCATCGCATCGCGTGATATTCTTAAAAACAATTAAAAAAAAATGCAATCGTGAAAATGCGATGCCATATGCTCATGTCTAGGGGGTACTCTATACTCTATTAGGCATTCTATTAGGCACTCTATTAGGTACTCTATTAGGCACTCTAGTAGCCACTCGATTAGTCACTCGATTAAGCACTCAACTAGGCACTCTATTCGGCACTCTATTAGGCACTCTAAGCAAGGGCAGACGCATTTCAAGCAAGAAGGGTCCATGGCAAGGGCAGACGCATTTCAACGAAGAAGGGTCCATGGCAAGGGACTGGTCCATGGATTAGGAACTCTAGTAGCCACTCGATTAGGCACTCGATTAAGCACTCAACTAGGCACTCTATACGGCGTATCAGGTGCTCCATGTGTGCTTTTGAATGCCACGGCAAGGCCCTGTAGGCCAATATTGTATACGCCCTTCAGATCCTAGTCTAGAATTGGAGGTGCTCCATCACGCATGCCTTGTACTTGCTGCATTATATTTGGATGCAGGACTTGCCACCCCCTCCCGCGCGGCCGAAGGCTGCTGGCGCGAGCCGCCACCAAGGGTAGGAGAAAGAATAACTGGAAACTAAACAAGGAAAATGAGGCAGGGAGAGGTCTTAAATAGAGAGGAAAGGACTCAAGCTCTCTCTCTCTCTCTCTCTCTCTCTCTCTCTCTCTCTCTCTCTCTCTCTCTCTCTCTCTCTCTCTCTCTCTCTCTCTCTCTCTCTCTCTCTCGCTCTCTCTCTCCTCTCTCTCGCCACCAAGGGTAGGAGAAAGAATAACTGGAAACTAAACAAGGAAAATCAGGCAGGGAGGGGTCTTAAATAGAGAGGAAAGGACTCAAGCTCTCTCTCTCTCTCGCTCTCTCTCTCCTCTCTCTTGCCACCAAGGGTAGGAGAAAGAATAACTGGAAACTAAACAAGGAGTTTGAGGCAGGGAGAGGTCTTAAATAGAGAGGAAAGGACTCAAGCTCTCTCTCTCTCTCTCGCTCTCTCTCTCTCTCTCTCTCTCTCTCTCTCTCTCTCTCTCTCTCTCTCTCTCTCTCTCTCTCTCTCTCTCTCTCTCTCTCTCTCTCTCTCTCTCGTTTCCCTCTGATTCGCCCAATGACAGTGGCGGTGCAGGCAGCAGAAAACAACCATTCTTCACTGTGCGCACCGCCACCCTCCCATGCTCACCTAGCAAGCACCTCACTCTTACTCCCCTTCATCCGTCTAATGACAGAGGCAATGCATGCAGCAGAGAAGCTACCAGCCGAGTCAATGGATCGATGGGGATGCGCACTGTATGCCCACCAACCCCCCACAAACGTTCCATACTCACCTGGCACCGCTCTCTAGACCCCATCATCCATCCAATGACAGTGGCGATACAGGCAGCAGAGAAGCTGCCAGCCGTGTCAACAAACGCCACTGTTGACCCTGTGCTGGGCGGCGCACTTCCTCTGGGTTGAGGGGCCGAACTGCTGTGAGAGGCTGATGCGTGCTGAGGTGGAGCAATGTCAGTGGCTTGAGAGAGCAGCGGGGAGATTGCAGCTACTGCTGCTGCTTGCAGGCAGAACTGGTTGAGAGGGGGAGGGGAGAGGAAGGGGGAGAGGGAGGCGGGGGGGAAAGGGAGCGGAAAAGAGGTGATTTGTGGTGGGAGAGAGGGGGAGGGATGTCAGTGGCTTGTGACAGAAGTGGGGTGATCGCAGCTACTGCTGGTGCTTGCAGGCAGAACTGGTTGGGGGGGAGAAGGGGAGTGGAGGGAGGGGGAAGGAGGTGATGCCGGGTGGGAGAAAAGGTGCTAGAGGCACGTTTGTGCTGGAGAGAAGAGCTGTGTGAGGGGCTTGGGTTGGGAGAGCAGTGGGGAGACTGCAGCTATCGCTGCTGCTGCTGCTGCTTGCAGGCAGAACTGGTTGGGGTGGTGAGAGGGATGATGAGAGAACAGAGCTGGTAGGGGGGGGTTACATGATTAGAGGTGGTGCACAAACGCAACGGGAGAGCACATGAGAGGGGGGGAGCAGGGAAAAAAGGGAGATACAGAGCGAAGGCCCCAAGTCTAATCCGCCTATGATCACCACTACCCCCACCCGCTCTTAAACTCTCGCTCTCACACACCCTCGCCTTTCATTCCCTCTCCTTGCCCCACCGAAGCACTTGAAGCCCTGCTCTTGCAACTATCCCCCTTTCTACCCTGCCCTTCCCACCTGAGCAGTTGCCTCTTCTCTTGAATACCCCATCTCTTCTCTTCGGCCGTCTCTACCCACCTGTGTCTTGCCCACCAGCAGCGCCAGTGACCTCAGTGACTGCTGCCAGGGGCAGGCCTCCATCATCGAAGCTGTCCCTTCTCCCGCCTAAATATCATCCCCCCCCCCCTTCTCTCCTCTCCCTCTGCCCTCTTCTCTTTATGGTTATTCCATCTCCCCCCCCCTCCCTCTGCCCTCTACTTCTGGCCTCCACCCTCTCCAAGCATCCATTAGCCCCACCTGAGTCTTGCCAGCACCAGCAGCGCCAGTGACCTCTGTGACTGCTGCCAGGGGCAGGCCTCCCCCTAGCAAGGAGTCAATGCTAGATGGGGGGGGAGAAAGAAGGGTGTGGGGGGATTGAGTGGACATGCGAAGGCCAGGGACAGAAGGGTGGCTTCAGCACCAGCAGCTCCAGGGACTTCTGTGACCGCTGCCAGGGGCAGGCCTCTCCCAAGCAGCGAGTCAAGGCTAGATGGGAAGCAAGCGGGAGGGGCATTGGCAGGAACAAGCTGGAAAAATCAAAGCACGGTACTTTTCAATGCCATCTCGTCCTCCTGTTAACTCAAGGACGGTTGGAGGCGGGAATAGCATCTGGTGCTGCTGAGAATGTAGTAATGAACGTGTACTCTTTCTTTACGGGAAGCATCCAGCCACCATGGGTCCATGTCCCACACGCCATGCACCATACCACACACACAGCACCATGATCTCACCTGGAGCACCCAGTGCTGATGGTCGCATGTTTCCACTGCCTCCTCCCAACATCGTCCACTTGCCATTGCTCTTGCCCCTCCTGCTGCTGATACTGCTGTTGCAGTTGCTCCCCCTTGCACTGCCATTTTTCCTCCTCTTCCCCCGTCTGCGCTTGTCTCTGCTGCGGATAAGGGTCCTCTTGGTTTAGGCCCTCGCTGTTGTCACCATAGGGCCCCTCCCTGTAGATGTCCCTCAAGAGCTGGTCCCCACTGGCATGTGCTGGCATGCACATGGCATGCACCATGTGATGATGTAGCTGGTCTATGGCCTGTCATGCAACGATCCATCCAAGAGCACACATGCACAAGCATGAATCCATACATGTATGGATGGATGAATCCGAATTATCATGCAAATCCAATGGCGTCATAAAGCCACCCACGGATAATCCACGTAGCAGATGGAGTTATACGCGTTATCACGCCGTCACTACCACTATGTCAGGCTCAGAGGTATGCATGCATGATGAACCCATAAACGCATGCCACGTGACCCAGGGCATGCATCTCATGCATGTGTGCCAGCGCTTCTAGCATGGTCCTGTAAGCATCCTCCTTTGCAGTGAGCCATGCCATTCAGGTCCCTCCAAAAGTGACTAACAATCGAAATTCAAGGTTAACTTGCTTGCCCTGTCAGTCAACATCACCATCACCATCACCATCATCATTAGATAGGTCATGACTTATCACCATTTTGGCATCGCCATCACCATCACCATCAGCATCACCAATGATTCATCATCATCACTCAAAGGTCACCATGCCGAATATATCACCATCACACCATCACCAAAATCATGCGATCATCACCTGTAAAGCATCTTCCCTACCTAGCCCTGCCATGAATGCGCCATGCACTCCACTCCTCGTCCTCCTGGGTGTATGATCCATGCATGCATTCATGCAAGGCAAGACAGGGATAAATACATACCTGTGAAACATCCTCCTTCACGCAGCCACTGGCATGCGGCATGCCCTCCACGTCCCTCCGAAGCATGTGACCATCTGGCATGTTGAAATCCTCCACTGTAGGGCATCACCCACCATGCATGCATGGTGACTTTTGAGTCGACTCAAAAGTCACCATGTTGAAATCCTCGACTGTAGGGCATCACCCACCATGCATGCATGCATGCACGCGAATCAAGAAAGAATTATCACCTGCAGTGCGTCATCCCTAGCCGTGCCATGCGCCATGCCCTCCACGTCCCTCCGCAGCATGCGACCATCCGCCATGACGAAATCCTCCACTGCAGGACATCACCCACCCACCATGCATGCATGCATCGCTCACAGAATGATTCATGCATGCGGAAGTAACACCAAGCATGCGACCATCCGCCATGATAAAATCCCCCACTGAAGCACCACCCACCATGCATGCATGCGTGCGAGCACATAATCATGCATAGCATACAGAAGGAGCAGCACGCATGTGACCATCCGCCATGCATGCACGATGCACGCACGCATTCAGGCACTCATGCATTCAGGCATTCAGGCATTCATGCATTCATGCATTCATGCCTTCAGGCATTCAGGCATTCAGGCATTCAGGCATTCAGGCATTCAGGCATTCAGGCATTCATGCATTCATGCATTCAGGCATTCAGGAATTCAGGCATTCAGGCATTCATGCATTCAGGCATTCAGGCATTCAGGCATTCAGGCATTCATGCATTCAGGCATTCATGCATTCATACATTCATGCATTCAGGCATTCAGGCATTCAGGCATTCATGCATTCAGGCATTCAGGCATTCAGGCACTCATGCATTCATGCATTCAGGCATTCATGCATTCAGGCATTCATGCATTCAGGCATTCAGGCATTCAGGCATTCAGGCATTCAGGCATTCATGCATTCAGGCATTCAGGCATTCAGGAATTCATGCATTCATGCATTCAGGCATTCAGGCATTCAGGTATTCAGGCATTCAGGCATTCAGGCATTCAGGCATTCATGCATTCATGCATTCATGCATTCAGGCATTCATGCATTCATGCATTCAGGCATTCATGCATTCAGGCATTAAGGCATTCATGCAGGCACAACGAAGCACCCAGGGCAATGACAAACCACGCATACCCATGCCATGCAAAAGAAGCGTAACAGGAGAGGGAAATGGATGGGCGGAAGGACAGAAAGGCAAGCGGGGAAGGGAAAGGGGGGAATAGGAAAGGGAGCAGCCTATGAGTGGCTATGCGGTGAGATAGAAGGATTTGCAGTGCGCTTTTGAGGCATCTCAAACGGAGGGGGGTCTAAAGAGATGCGGAGAGGAATAAAGGCAAGTGGGAATGGGAAAGTGAGAAGCCTACGAGTGGCTATGCGGTGCTATCGAAGGTTGAGGTGTCTCTAATGAAGGGGGGTCTAACGAGATGCGGAGAGGAATGAAAGCAAGTGGGAATAGGAAAGCGAGAAGTCTACGGGTGGCTATGCGGTGCGACCGAAGGATCTGCATGGCGTCCGGCGATATGGTGAAGGGGAGGTGCGACAGCGGCGGCATCGTGATTATGATGTCACTCGCACACACACAGCGGAAGGTCCGCAAAGTCAGGGTATAAAAGTCGTATTCGAGACGTCTCAAAGCACGTGACTATGATGTTGCTCACACGCACAGCGGAGGGTCCGCAACGCCAGCGAATCCAGGAGGCAGTGAAATCGCTGGAGACTACTGGCCGTCAGTGACGCAACCCAACCCAACGCACTGCAACTAGTAGAGAGTTTATTGCGAACGTTTCACGCGCGTTCACGGCCGGCTATTCGAGCTCGACCAACTGATGCACTTTCGACCGTTGGAGACCAGTGGACCTACTTAGCGGCTGTCTATTTTGGCGGCGTGGCCTAGTTGCAGTCTAGAAGACTAGCATTTTTCAAACCAGAGTGATGGTCAGCGTCAGGGGTAAGCTAGCTAGAGTTCAGCCTGGTGCGGTTCAGTACGGTATTCTTCATTCACAAGTGCTTTGATTCACCTGAAACACCAAGGCATCTCTTATGACAACCTAAACGTGTCCTTCGGTTTTCCTTGCCGGTTGTGTTTCGTGAAGGCAGAAGTTACGTTAAATGCTTAACCTGATGTCTATTAATTGCAAAATGATTGCAATCGTACCTAATCCTACAGTACAAATATGCATTCCTTCCCTAGCTCCTGGCCGTAGATGAGTGCGAGAACAGCCATAACAGCCCACAAGCCGAGCCGCAATACGCCGCCGTGCCACCCACAACAGCATCCTCCTATGCATGATGGCAGCCAAGCCAATGCGGATGTAAGGAGAGATGACCGATGTTGCCCATGCAACTGCAGAGTCAATCTGAGATGCGAATTTCCACCTTGAGCAAGTCTCTCATGATCTCGTACGTGACGAAGGCAATGGCGATGGATGGCACCACCTGGGTGCAGTGGGGGGGAGGGGTTAGAGGAGCAGGGACAGAAACACACAGGGAGGGCAGGAAACAAAGGGTTAGCACAGGGCGCACAAGAAACATGTCGAGAGAACAAGTCTTTCTTTCAGGATGTCACTCATACATGACAAACACAACAGCGATGGACAGTACCACCTGGCATTGTGTGATGAAGACAAAGGCACAGGTAGGCACAGGGACCACTTGCAGCAAGGAGTACCTCCTCAACCGCTGGTTTCGCCTCACCTGGTCAGCGTGCTACCTCCTCCCTCTCTGCTGCCAGTGTGCGCTCAGCACACTAAGGCTACAGTAGCAGAGGATGTCACCTTCACAGAACTGCGCACGAGCCCCTTGTAGAGCGCCTTCACTCCCTCCACCTGCATTGTCTTCCTGAAAGGTGTCTATCATCCCGGAGTGCCACGGCAGGCAGAGCCAGCCACTGGGAATAAACGCAAGAACCAGCACAAGATCTCACCTTTACAGAATTGGGCACGAGCCCCTTGTAGAGCGCCTTCACTCCCTCCATCTGCACTGTCTTCCAGAAAGGCGTCCTTCATCTCTGAGTGCCGCCGCAGGCACTCCTTGAAGCGAAGGTGTTGAGGGGAGGTCCATTGTAACGAGGTGACTTTGTTGTGTGACATTGTAATGAGGTGACTTTGTTGTGTGACATTGTAACGAGGTGACTTTGTTGTGTGACATTGTAACGAGGTGACTTTTGAGTCGACTCAAAAGTCACCTGAAAGGCGTCCACCACCTCTGAGTGCCGCCGCAGGCAGAACCAGCCACCGAGAATAAATGCAAGAGCCAGCACAACATCTCACCTTCACAGAGTTGGGGACAAGTCCTTTGTAGAGCGCCTTCACCCCCTCCATCTGCACCGTCTTCCGGAACGCGTCTGTTATCCCGGTGTACTGCGGCGCCGCTGCCACTGTGCCATTTGGTTTGTCTGTCATCCGCACATCAGCACACTTGCAGGCTACACCAGCAGCGGATCTCACCTTGACGGAATTGGGCACAAGTCCTTTGTAGAGCACCTTGACTCCCTCCATCTGCACCGTCTTCCGGAAAGCATGCCCCATCCCGGTGTGTCATGGCGCTGCTGCCACTGTGCCGCCCACTCTCAGCACACTCCAAGGCTATGCAAGGCACAGAATAGGTGAGAGAAACCCCCCAGCCCAGCAGAAGAACCCACCTTGACAGAGTTTGGGACAAGCCCCTTGTAGAGCGCCTTGACTCCCTCCGTCTGCACCGTCTTCCGGAAAGCGTCTATCATCCCGGTGTACTGCGGGGCCGCTGCCACCGTGCCGTCCGCTCTGAGCACACTAGCCGCGTCCTTCCACCCCACCATCTGCAGCCGCCGCCGCACCACGTCCAGCGGGTACGCCACTGTCTGCCCCAGCGTTCCCGCCACCGCCCCGCACGCCAGCTTGGTGAGGACTGAGAGCTCCGCCTGCTCGGGCTGCTGAGTCGCGTACATTCTAGCAAGCCAGTCCTTTAGGGTTTCGTACACTGCGAAGTTGAGACCCACGTAGGGGATCTGGTAGGGGTGGACGAGGGGGAGGGGAGGGGCAGAAAGAGGGGGGGTATGTAACTGTCTGCCCCATGTGACAGTCTGGCCCAGCGTTCCTGCCACCGCCCCACACCCCAGCTTGGTGAGCACCGAGAGCTCCGCCTGCTCGGGCTGCTGAGTTGCGTACATTCTTGCGAGCCAGCCTTTAAGAGTCTAAAACACTGCGAAGTCGAGACCCATGTGGGGCCGGAAAGGGGGGGCAAGGTTACACATCCGTTTAGCCAATGCGGCCAAATCTCTCCACCCCACCATCTGGAGGCGCCGTCGAGGGTGCCGCAGCCAGCCCCTATAGAGGGCGCGTACACTTGCCTCCTTCACTACAGCTGGCTGCCAGTTTCCACTACCACTACAACCGGTCACTTCACTACTACCACGACTCGCGACTCACCACGACTCACAACTACCACAACTCGCGGCTCACCACGACTCACTACTACCACGACTCACTACTACCACGACGCACTACAACCAGGACTCCCTACTACCACGACGCACTACTACCACGACTCACTACTACCACGACGCTCCACTACCACGACTCACTACTACCACGACTCGCCGCTCCAATAACACCGGTCAACCAGATGACTGTTGAGTCGACTCACAAGTCATCTTACTACTACCATCACACACCATGCCAATAACGGAAGGCAACCAGCCTCTAAAGAGGGCGCACACCCTTATGCTTTGCTACAGCTGGAAGCCAGTCGCCACTACCACTACGACCGTCGACCGGTCACTACTACCATCACTCACCACACCAATAACGGATGGCAACCAGCCCTTATAGAGGGCGCGAACGCCCTCCTCCTTCACTATAGTCACCGCAGCGTGGCGCATGCCCTTGTAGCGCTGCTCGCCTTTTCTGCCGGACTGGTGGTGGGGAGCGAGGGACACAAGGAGGCAGAGGCATGGGAAGGGAGGCATGAGGGGAGAGAGGGGCGGACAGAGAGGCAGGCACCGCCGCGGTGGCCGCATGCCCTCGTTTCGCTGCTCGCCTTTTCTGCCAGACCGGTGGTGGGAACACCAGAGTGGGGCAGGAAGGGAGGCGGGGAGGAATGCAGGGAGAGAGAAGAAATGCCCATGAACAATGACTGGTGGTGGGAGCAATGCAGGGAATGAGCAGAATGCCCATGAATTTGCAGGGTGTTTTTGAGAATTCTAAAAAACGCCCTGCAAAGGCTGGTGGTGGGAGAAATGCAGGGAGAGAGAAGAATGCCCATGAGGCCGCAGACCCATCCGACTACAGTAGATTGCCCTCTGACCCATGCGGCATGTTCTGATTTAGCCTGTAGGTAGCGCACACGGGTCGTTTGCCCTCTGACCCATGCGGCATGTTCTGATGTGGTTAGCAAACACAACCCACCTGCACTGTGAGCCGTTCTCGGACCATGTCTATGGGGTATGTGGCACTCAAGGCATGTTGTGGTGGGGTTTATGGCACACACAGTAAGAGGTACCACCAACTAACCCACCCGCACTGTGAGCCGCCCTCGAACCATGTCCATGGGGGAAGTGGAGGACATGGCATGTTGTGGAGGCCAGTGCAGTGCAACGCTCCTGCACTGTGAGGCGCCCTCGGACCATGTCCATGGGGTACGTGGCTGGCTGACATGGCAATGATGCCCATGTGAGCGCCCTCTTGTAGCAGTTACCCAGTCCCCCTTGATGCATATGCATATGCCTATGTCGCAATGTCCCAAACCCACCTGCACTGTGAGGCGCCCTGGAACCATGTCCATGGGGTATGTGGCGGGCATGGCAATGATGCCTGCTGTGGCGCCTGGTCCCACTGCATCAAGGTAATCTGACCCCGCTCCATGCAATCAGCCCACCCACCTGCACTGTGAGGCGCCCTCGGACCATGTCCATGGGGTATGTGGCGGACATGGCAATGATGCCTGCTGTGGCGCCTGCTCCCAGCCGCAACACCGGGGTCAGCTCCAAGTCTGTTGTTCAGGAGGGTGAAGGGGGTACTACTAGACATTATCAAAATGCAATGCGATATTACATTGCATCGCATTTTATTAAATCGCTGCGATGCGATAACATCGCATCACCCCATATAATTCTGGGGGAACAGGTTATCGCTTATCGCATTATGGGCGCGACATTCATTAATATCGCATTGCACATTATCAAAATGCAATGCCATATTACATCGCATCGCATTTTATTGAATCGCTGCGATGCGATAACATCGCATCACCCCATATAATTTAGGGGGAACAGGTTATCGCTTATCGCATTATGGGCGCGACATTGATTAATATCGCATTGCACTTTATAAGCAAAAAAGGGGGGTTTCCAAGAGGTGTAAAAAAGGGCAGCAAATGTGCGCACCCTGGTGGCCATGGGAAACGGGAATAAGGGTTTCGATGTAGCTGGATGGCTTGGCTTGGCTTGATAAAAATGCTATAAAAATGCGACATTTTTTTAATCGCATATCGCATTTTACCGCATATCGCATTTTATCCTGCGATAAGCATCGCATCGCGTGATA